CTCTCTGTAAAAAAAATCAATAAAATATATTTAAAAATAAAAAAATTAAAAATTAATTAATAATTAATTAAAAATAGTTTCTACCTTCTGGTAACGTGGTGAGGATTACACAAGCTATTTAACTAGACGGACAGTGCCTGGCACAGTATTAGCGACCAGTAACGTATTATTATTTCTATGGCTCCCTTTTTGAGTCTCAGCCCCCCTTCAAAAGGGAGGCCTCCTCCATTTAGGCCTCCTCTGGAGGACTCTGGTGAGGATTCAACCAGTAATTATTTCGTCACGGTCACAGCTAACATCTCTCCAGCCCTCCCTCTGCACCAAGCACCATCTAACCTTCGCAGCAACCCCCGGGGAAGTGCGGCTGTTGTCCCCATTTTACAGATATTGACACTGAGGCACAGAGAGGTGCCGCTTGCTCAAGGAGCGTTATCAGTGACGGGAGCAGTTGGAGGTGAGGGGTCGCGGGGTTCGGGGCTGGGCCATGAGGGCATTGGGGTGCGACTGACCCTGCCCTTTATGCCCCCCTGCCCCCAGGAAGCTGGACGCCTTCATCTATGACGCGGCTGTGCTCAACTACATGGCCCGCAAGGATGAGGGCTGCAAGCTGGTCACCATCGGGTCCGGCAAGGTCTTCGCCACCACGGGCTACGGCATCGCCCTGCACAAGGGCTCCCGCTGGAAGCGGCCCATCGACCTGGCGCTCCTGCAGTTCCTGGGGGACGGTGCGGCTGCAGAGGGGGCCTGGGGGAGCCCGGGGCGGGGGGGGGGATGGGGTGGGGGTGGCGGGGAGCCCTGGGTCCCGCAGAAGGAGGGGATGAGGACCAGGGCACCAGGGTGGAGGGCCTAGACTCCTCTATCAGAGGCGGGTCCTCGAGGGATCGCTACAAAGGTGACCTCTGACCTCTGACCGCACGCCCCCCAGATGAGATCGAGATGCTTGAGCGGCTGTGGCTCTCCGGGATCTGCCACAACGACAAGATCGAGGTGATGAGCAGCAAGCTGGACATCGACAACATGGCAGGCGTCTTCTACATGCTGCTGGTGGCCATGGGCCTGTCGCTGCTGGTCTTCGCCTGGGAGCACCTGGTGTACTGGCGGCTGCGGCACTGCCTGGGGCCCACCCACCGCATGGACTTCCTGCTGGCCTTCTCCAGGGTAGGGGGGAGGCGTGGGGGGCGGGGGAGGGGGGAGGGGGAGGGGGGAGGGAGGCAAGGGGACCCGCAGGTGGCAACCCGCCGGGAGGCCCAGGCGTGGGAGGGAGCCGGCGGGGATGCGGGGGAGGAGGGAGGGGTGGGGCCGGGGTCCCGGGCCCACGGTGCTGACCCCGCCTCCCCCGCGGCCCCGCAGGGCATGTACAGCTGCTGCAGCGCCGAAGCCGCCCCGCCGCCCGCCAAGCCTCCGCCGCCGCCGCCGCCGCAGCCGCTGCCCAGCCCCGTGTACCCGGCCCCGCGCCCCGCGCCCGGCCCCGCGCCCTTCCTGCCCCGCGAGCGCGCGGCGGTGGACCGCTGGCGCCGCGCCAAAGCCGCGGGGCCGCCGGGGGCCGCGGGCCTGGCCGACGGCTTCCACCGCTACTACGGCCCCATCGAGCCGCAGGGCCTGGGCGTGGGCGTGGGCGAGGCGCGCACGGCGCCCCGGGGCGCGGGGGGCCGCCCGCTGTCCCCGCCGGCCGCGCAGCCCCCGCAGAAGCCGCCGCCCTCCTACTTCGCCATCGTGCGGGACAAGGAGCCCGCCGAGCCCGCCGCCGGCGCCTACCCCGGCTTCCCGTCTCCGCCCGCGCCCCCCTCCGCCGCCGCGGCCGCCGCCGTCGGGCCGCCGCTGTGCCGCCTGGCCTACGAGGACGAGAGCCCGCCGGCGCCCGCGCGCTGGCCGCGCTCCGACCCCGAGAGCCAGCCGCTGCTGGGGCCCGGCGGGGGCGGCGCGGGGGGCGCGGGCGGCGCGGGCGGCGGGGCTCCGGCGGCGCCCCCCCCGCGCCGCGCCGCGCCGCCCCCGTGCCCGTACCTCGACCTGGAGCCGTCGCCGTCGGACTCGGAGGACTCGGAGAGCCTGGGCGGCGCGTCGCTGGGCGGCCTGGAGCCCTGGTGGTACGCCGACTTCCCCTACCCGTACGCCGAGCGCCTCGGGCCGCCGCCCGGCCGCTACTGGTCGGTCGACAAGCTCGGGGGCTGGCGCGCCGGCAGCTGGGACTACCTGCCCCCGCGCGGCGGCCCGGCCGCCTGGCACTGCCGCCACTGCGCCAGCCTGGAGCTGCTGCCGCCGCGCCATCTCAGCTGCTCGCACGACGGCCTGGACGGCGGCTGGTGGGCGCCGCCGCCCCCGCCTTGGGCCGCGGGACCCCCGCCCCGGCGCCGGGCCCGCTGCGGGTGCCCGCGGGCGCACACTCACCGCCCGCGCGCCTCGCACCGGGTGCCCGCGCCCCCCGCCCCGCACCACCACCGGCACCGGCGCGCCGCGGGGGGCTGGGACCTCCCGCCGCCCGCGCCCACCTCCCGCTCGCTCGAGGACCTCAGCTCGTGCCCCCGCGTCGCCCCCGCGCGCCGGCTCACCGGGCCCTCCCGCCACGCGCGCCGGTGCATGCACGCGGCGCACTGGGGGCCGCCGCTGCCCGCCGCGTCCCACCGGAGACACCGGGGCGGGGACCTGGGGACCCGCCGGGGCTCGGCGCACTTCTCCAGCCTCGAGTCCGAGGTATGACGCGGCCCCGGGGGCCCGCCCGCCCCCTCGGTCAGCGCAGGCCACGGCCCGAGGGGGCGCGCGCAGTGGAGAGGACCCGCGTGGGATGGGAAAGAGAAAGGTGGCACTGGCCGGACCCCGCCTGGAGCAGCGTCCTGTGCCCCTTCGTTTTCGGGGCACCGTGAGCCGGAGGGGATTTGGTCCCCGGAATCTCACCCCGCTTGGGAGCGAGGGCGGGGGGCGGGGGGCGGAGGTCTCGGAGCCCACTGGACATTTTTTAAAACCCGACAAGGGCTTTTTAACGTCACCAGATGGGGCGGGAGGTGGGGGGGTCGCGCCACGCCCGCGCCCCACCCCCACGCCCGGGGCCGTGGCCCCCACATCACTGTGCAGCTCCCCGGCCCCGGCCACGCCTCCGGGGAAGCCCGTTTTTAACCTTCCATCCATTGGGACTCAAAACTGTGAGACGCATTCGCCAAACTGTGACCCTCCTAGACCTTGGCCCCGCCATACAGAAACCCCTGACCCCAGACTGTGACTTCCGACCCCTACCAATGGTCATCCGACCCCAGACTGTGACCTCTGACCCGAAACTGTGACCCGAACCCCAGACTGTGCCCCGACCAGACTGTGCCCCTTGACGTCAAACCGGGACACCCTCCCCCCCCTCTCCTTTTCCACCCCGGGTCACATTTCCCTATTTTGACTTCGGACACACCCCCAACGGAAGCCCCGCCTCCCCCGCCCCGCCCCCCTGCCCCCAGCGTTGATCCCACCCTTTAGGGGCCAAAACCTCCCATCCAGTCGCACCTCACTACCTACCCCAGGTGCCACCAAACACACCCTCTCCAAATCTCACCCTTATCTGTGACCCTTCAGTGATGACCCGGCAGACCCCCCAAAGCCTCCTCTTCCCAGATCTCCAGCCGGGTCTGGAGCTGGGTTGTGGAGGGGAGGGTCTGGGAGTCCACACTCACACCCACCTTCCTTCCCTCTCTCCTGGTCCACCTTGCAGTGTTTGGAATAAACCATGTTTTTATGCCTCCTCAGTCCAAGTGTGAGCTCCGTGTCTGTCTCGTAGCCCCCACCCCCACCCCCAGCACCAGCACCCTCAAACCTGTGAAGGAAACAAACTGAGAGAAGTCCCACCGAAGGAAGGGGCAGAAAGAGAATTAGCGAGAGCAGAGACCCTGGAGGGAGGCGGGAGACAAAGACCCAGAAAGAGGAGGTGAAAAAAGACCCTGAGAAGGGAAGGGCTGAGAAGGGGCAGGGGTGGACAGAGACCTGGAGATATGGGGGACAGAGAACTCAGGAAAGATCCAGGATCAGACCATTTCAGGATCAAGTCGAGGGGCCCATTCCTATGGCTACGGTCAACGAGGCGTGCAAGATTCTTAATATCCTGTCCATGCAAGTGCGGAGCGTGTCTAATACATTTCAGCCAATCCACATATCTTGAATAGCGTTAATCTCACCAAGGAGAATCTATTCCTAACATTTCATTATGCCAATTAGCCAAACCTCTGCTGCTGATGGGCGATAAGGAGAAGCACTCGTAACAGCTGCCTCCAGAGGGTGGACTTTCTGATTAAGTGCTCGCTGACCATAGCTGCAATGTGAAGTCCTTGGTTAGGCACTTGACTGCCCCGAGAGGGTAGATTCAACCGACTAACTCACGCGTAATATCATCCTGCTTACATTAAGCATTTTGAAATAAATTAAAGCCATCATCACAAGGAGGGGAGAAGAAACCGGCGTTATGGGTCTTCAGAGAACAGAAACCCACACTCCTTGTCAGTAAGAGCTCTTATTTGCATACATGAATAATCATCTGAGCGAAAAGAAAGCTCTGGGAATCAAAGGTGGAAAAATGGAGTGGAGGCTCTGAACTCTGAGTCTAGTAACATAATTAAAGCATAGTGATTAATCACAAAAACAATATGTAATTATATATGTGTTTTCCGATGGTCTTAGGCGACCCCTGTGAAAGCTTCGTTCGACCCCCCAAAGGGGTCGCGACCCACAGGTTGAGAACCGCTAGTAGATGGGCGCCAGGCCTCCCAGAGAACTACAACTCCCAGGAGGCCTTGCGACGGCTCCGCGGAAGAGCGCCTCAAAGTTATGCGGGGCTGGTGGTCTCCGGGTATCCACCACCCGCCTCCAGGGCTAAACCCGGGCGAGGTTACCTTGTTCTCCTTCTCCCTCTCCCCACCGCCCTCTCTAATTGGTGAACTGGAGAGTTTCCAAGGTAACGGCGCCGCCTGGCGGATCTCCGAAGGGGTGGGGGCGGGGAAAAGCGCAAACCGGAAGTGACGCTCTCCCCTCGCGCCGACAGCTAGAGGCTTCGAGGATGGCGGCGCGCAAGGGTCGGCGGCGCACGTGTGAAACCGAGGAGCCCATGGAGGCCGAGTCCCGCGACGCTGGGTCCGAGGGCCCGACCCAGGTCTATCTGCCCGGCCGGGGGCCGCCGCTGCGCGAAGGAGAGGAGCTGGTCATGGACGAGGAGGCCTACGTGCTGTACCACCGAGCGCAGACCGGTGGGTGGGCACCCAGACCCCTGGCCCCCGGGGAAGGAGGGAGCTGGAATCCTGGGTCCTGGGGGGCCCAGGTCCTGAGCCTTTAACTTACTAGTAAGAGGCGCTCTGAAAGGGAAGACTGGGGTCCTGAGAGGGGTGGCGTCACACTGGAGGGCGCTGAGATCCCGCCGCCCCATCATGGCTTTCCAACCTCTCCTTCCCTCCCCAGGCGCCCCCTGTCTCAGCTTTGACATCGTCCGGGACCACCTGGGGGACAATCGCTCCGAGCTTCCTCTGACACTTTACCTGTGTGCCGGGACCCAGGCGGAGAGCGCCCAGAGCAACAGGTGAGTGGGACCCGAGGCTTGCCCAGGAGTCCAAGTCCCAGCCTCTTCCTGCCTCAGAGTCCAGGACTCAGCCTCCGGCTCCCCTTCCCCAGGGACCCAGGAGGCGGGGCTTCCGGCTTCGGCCTCCCTCAGACCCAGCAGTTGGGGTGTCCCCGCGCCTCAGTCACATCCCACTTTCCCCCAGATTGATGATGCTTCGGATGCACAATCTGCACGGGACCAAGCCCCCACCCTCAGAGGGCAGCGATGAAGAGGAGGAGGAAGATGAAGAGGATGAAGAAGATCGGAAGCCTCAGCTGGAGCTGGCCATGGTGCCCCACTACGGCGGCATCAACCGAGTCCGGGTAAGCGCAGCCTACCCAGTCTGCTCTGCGTCTCTGGGGCACGCCCCTACTCTCACGTCTGTGCCTGCACCTCAGCTTTTGGGACAGCATCGGGCACATAATTTTATATGTTAGTTTACATATGTCTTAGCTATTCTGAATTGTCGCTGGGTGCTGTGGAGTGGGTTTCTTTTTTAAAATTTTTTTTTTATTTTATTGTTTAAAGTATTACAGATAGTAGTACATATGTCTCCTTCCCCCTCCCCACCATTGACCTTCCCCCGGCCACCCCTCCCCCCCACCACATGCCCTCACCCCAGTGTCTTGTGTCCATTGGTTATGCTTATATATTCATGCATACAAGTCCTTCAGTTGATCTCTTATTCCGCCCCCCACCCACCCTCGGCAACACTGCCCAGCCTTCCCGCTGTAATTTGACAGCCTGTTCCATGCTTCTCTGCCTCTGTATCTATCTTTTTGTTCATCAGGTTATATTTTTTATTTTTATGTTCTGTGAAATGGTGAGAGTTGCAAAACTTGCCTGGTGTAAGGATCACATAGAATAACGTACAATTCTTTCTGTAACTGAAATACAGTTATTTCAGGTGCTTAGAAACAGCACCTGGCTGTAATGTGAGTGTCTGTGTGTTTTCTGTTATTTTTCAGGAACTGTCCTGAGGTTACTCTTGTGGTTTAGGGTTATAGCATCTTCTGTCTGATCAGGTTGATGTGTGAGTTAAAGGAGGTGACATATAAGCAGCGCTTGGAGCAATGCTTGGCCGGTGGTTCTTGCTGTGCGTTTCCACTGAAGTGTTAACGTGTTTTAGGTACTGTTTTGGACTCTAGGGATTTAACAGGGGGCAGAAGGTCTCTGGCTGCTTGGAATTATATGCTGCTGGAGAAGGGACAAGAGCAAAACAAGGAGGTGTGTACTGTGTCAAGGTGCTAAATGTTGTAGAGAAAAAAATAAAGTCAGGGAAGGGTGTAGGGTGCTCCTGTGTGGGTTGCTATTTTAAATAGTGTGGCCTGGGAAGTATTCACTGATAAGGAGCCGTTCATACAGAGACCCACAGGAAGTGAGGGAGTGAGCCAAGGGTGTGTGGGAAAAGGTTTGCAGGCAAGGAAAGCCAGTGCACAGGCCTGGGGTGGACATGGCATGTTGGAGAAGTTGTTGAGAGACGCTGGGGAGACCAGTGTGCTTAGAGCAGAATGAGCAAGAGATACAGCGACAAGATTCCGGGGGTGGGCCCAGACGAGACAGATTGTTTAGGGCCTTGTAGCCCATTGTAAGGACTTGGGGAGACGCTGGAAGCCATGGGAGAGTTTGGAGCACAGGCAAGGTGGGATCTGACTTGTGTTTTTTTGTTTGTTTGTTTTTTAATTATTAAATCTTCATTTTTCAGATTACATTTGTTCCTCTTTTTTCCCCCCATAACTCCCCCTGACTTGTGTTTTAATTCCTCTACCTGCTCTGTTGAGAAGAGGCTGCAGGAAGGCAAGGGCAGCAGACAGTCCTGTAGGGGCTGTAGTTCGGGAGAAGGGTGACATCAGTAGCAACGTGCGAGACAACAATAGGGGTGGTGGGAGGGATAAAAGTGATGCTTTTTTTTTTTTTTTTTTTCTTCCCCAGTTCTCACCTGGGGATAGTTTTCCATTGTTTTTTTTTTAGGGAGAGTGGAAGAGAGAGGGAAAGACAGAGAGAAACATCCATGTGAGAGAAACACATCCATTGGTTGCCTCCTGCATGAGCCCCAACCAGGGCCCAGGCCGGGGAGGAGCCTGCAACCAAGGTAGGTGCCCTTGACTGGAATCAAACCCGGGACCCTTTGGTCCGCCGGCCGATGCTCTATCCACTGAGCCAAACCTGCCTGGGCGAAGTGGTGCATTTTTACTGGAATCAGCATAGGTGTCAGGTTGAGGAAGAGACAAGTCGAAAATAGGTCCTGCAGTTTGGGGAGGAGTAGTTTGCAGTCGGCGATTAGGAGCTTGGCTTTTTATTTTTTATTTTTATTTTTTATTGATTTTTTACAGAGAGGAAGGGAGAGGGATAGAGAGTTAGAAACATCGATGAGAGAGAAACACCAATCAGCTGCCTCCTGCACACCTCCCACTGGGGATGTGCCCGCAACCAAGGTCCATGCCCTTGACCGGAATCGAACCTGGGACCTTTCAGTCCGCAGGTCGACGCTCTATCCACTGAGCCAAACCGGTTTGGCTAGGAGCTTGGCTTTGATCTCGTGAAGTTTGATGTGAGTCTGGAGTTCGAGAAGGAGGTCGGGCCTAGGGGCTGCTGGAAACCTGGAGGCTGAATGGGACCTCCTTGTGAGCAAACGGACTGAGGCCTGAGGCCCGTGACTCCAACACTGAGAGGGTAGCAGAGACCAGGGGTCTGACGAGGGCTGGTGGGGACTACAGCCTTCATTCCCAGGAATCTTTTTTTTTTTTTTTTTTTTTAAATATATTTTATTGATTTTTTACAGAGAGGAAGGGAGAGAGATAGAGAGTTAGAAACATCGATGGGAGAGAAACATCGATCAGCTGCTTCCTGCACATCTCCTACTGGGGATATGCCCGCAACCAAGGTACATGCCCTTGACCGGAATCGAACCTGGGACCTTTCAGTCCGCAGGCCGACGCTCTATCCACTGAGCCAAACCGGTTTCGGCAATTCCCAGGAATCTTAAAGGAGCTTTGTCCTCCCACCACCACCTCTACTGCAGGTTGGGGAGTGGTCCTAGGTACCAAGCTGGTCTTGAAGACTGTGGTCCTTTCCTACAAAGGATTCTGGGGGTTGTTGTCCCAGCCCTGGGGGTGGGGGGGTGGTCTGAGGAACTGCAGTCCTAGTTCTCGGGGATGCTAGAAGCTGTGGTCACCAACCTGAGCCTCCTGCCCCTCCCAGCTCACCTCCCCTTCCTTCTCCCCCCACAGGTGTCTTGGCTGGGCGAGGAGCCGGTGGCTGGGGTGTGGTCAGAGAAGGGCCAGGTGGAGGTGTTCGCGCTGCGGCGGCTTCTGCAGGTGGTCGATGACCCCCAGGCCCTGGCCGCCTTCCTCCGGGACGAGCAGGCTCGCGTGAAGCCTATCTTCGCCTTCGCTGGCCATATGGGCGAGGGCTTTGCCCTGGACTGGTCCCCCCGTGTGCCCGGTGAGTCCCTGGGGTATGCACTTGGTCCTGGGGTGCCAGAGGGAGCAGGGTCGGCAGCAGGGGTGGGTGCTAACTCCAGGGAGGGGACTGCGCTGGGCCAGCTGGGACCAGGTCGTTTCCCGTCCCCCCAGGGCGCCTGCTGACTGGTGACTGTCAGAAGAACATCCACCTCTGGACGCCCACGGACGGCGGCTCCTGGCATGTAGACCAGCGGCCATTCGTGGGCCACACACGCTCCGTGGAGGACTTGCAGTGGTCCCCAACCGAGGACACGGTGAGGCAGGGCTGGGGCTGGATTCCTGGGTCTTGGGTTTTTTTTTAATATGTCTTTTTATTGATGTCAGAGAGGAAGGGAGAGGGAGAGAGAGAGATAGAAACATCAGATGAGAGAGAATCACTGATCGGCTGCCTCCTACACACCCCCTGCTGGGGACCCAGCCCGCAACCCTGGCATGTGCCCTGCCTGGGAATCGAACCAGTGACCTCTTGGTTCCTGGGTCAACAGTCAACCAACTGAGCCATACCAGCTGGGCTGGATTCCTGGGTCTTAAAGGAGGAGGGGCTGGGGCAGGTCCTAGTGAGGGGCCCACAACTAGTACCTGGTCTCGGGTGGGGTGCAGGGAGCCCCGGTCGCTCAGACTCCTCTTCCAGGTATTCGGCTCCTGCTCAGCTGACGCCTCCATTCGCATCTGGGACATCCGGGCCGCCCCCAGCAAGGCCTGCATGCTCACCACTGCCGCCGCCCACGATGGGGACGTCAACGTCATCAACTGGAGCCGCCGGGAGCCCTTCCTGCTCAGCGGCGGGGATGACGGGGCCCTCAAGGTGTGGGACCTGCGGCAGTTCAAGGTACGCTGCCAGCTGGGCACCCGGAGAAGCTCCTGTTCCCGCAGCCGCTGGGATTTGTGGGTCTGCCCTCTGACGTGGTCTCCGACGCCAGAGCTGGGAGCGCCCTTCACTGGGCCCAGCCCCTTCGGGCGACGATGGGGGAGCGGGCTCAGCAGGAGGGTGGCTTGGGGCTGATGTGGAAGCGCCGTTCTTCCAGCCGGAGAGCTGACAAGAGACAGAAGAGGCAAAGACCTCCGGAGCCCAGCTCCCTCGCTGCAGGAGAGGAGACAGGCATAGCAAGGCCAGGAGCCGATGTGACATATGGCCCAGCTACGTGCTGATTGTAGCGCCGACTGTCGCGCTGAGAGGGCTTCTGGGCAGGAAGCCTTGCTGTGTCTGGGATCCCTCTGAGCAAAGCCCCAACTTCACAGGGCTCTGCACCTTCCCGGGGCCACCGTGTCCTAATCTGTTTTCCCTGCCCGTGTAATGGGTTCTCTAGCATCACCCCTGGGAAGTTTCTAGAAAAGGATTCCAGCCCCAAGGCAGGTACATGGCCGAGCTGATTGGGACTTTGGAGACCCTTCTCCAAGTCAGCCCCTTTGGGTAGGAAAAGCAGCTTCTTGGTTCTTTGCGTCTGCTGCTCCTGGAGCCTGGGAGCCCTGCTTCTGCCTCTTTAAGGCCATAGGACCAGTGGGGAGGACACCCCCTTCCTGGGAGGGGCTCCTGGGCAGGTGAAAGCAGGGTTCCCAGCAGCCCCCGGGACATAGGCCATTGTTACCAGCTGTACCTCCCCCTCTGTCACTTTCAGAGAATCTGGGCTTGTTGGGGCTCAAGGGTGGAGCCCTGGTTGAACCCCGAGGCTGGAGAGGGTTGGGGCTCTGCCTGGGGTACCCCAGGACTCCGGCTGAGGTGCTCAAAGCCCCTGCCTCCTGTTTCCCCACAGTCTGGCTCCCCGGTGGCCACTTTCAAGCAGCACGTGGCCCCCGTGACCTCCGTCGAGTGGCACCCCCAGGACAGCGGGGTCTTCGCAGCCTCGGGTGCAGACAACCAGATCACACAGTGGGACCTGGCCGTGGAGCGGGACCCCGAGGCGGGCGACGCGGAGACCGACCCCGGGCTGGCGGACCTCCCCCAGCAGCTGCTGTTTGTGCACCAGGGCGAGACCGACCTGAAGGAGCTGCACTGGCACCCGCAGTGCCCCGGGGTCCTGGTCAGCACCGCCCTGTCCGGCTTCACCGTCTTCCGCACCATCAGCGTCTGAGCGCGGCCTGGGAGCTGACGGTGAGGGAAGGGACTCGTTCAGATCTGCGGACCGGCCCTTCTCCAAACAAGGACTTTGCTCAGCCCATTGGCACCAGGATGGATTCTGCTTGACTTGCTGTTCTTTAAAGGGCCTTGATTTGGTCTGAGGACCCCTCCAGCCGCAGGACTTGGTTTGATCCATGGCGCTCTGAGACAGCGGTCGCCAGCCTTCCAGACCTCAACCTTGCGGAGCACCAGGAGCACCACTGGTTGGCGACCACTGCTCTCAAACCACTGGGTTTGGCTCCAGCGGCCCCACCCACCCAGAGACGTGGTTCAGCCCAGTGACTTGCCCCCACCCTTCAGGGAACGCTGTTGGCCCATTTCGAAGGTGGGCCTGTGTGGCCCCAATTACTAGGGATATTTTGTCAGCTGAGGCACTTGGCTTGACCCTTTGACCTCAGGGAACTCAAGTGCTTTGCAATGACTGGACCGAGTTTGAGGGGTGGGTCCCCCCCGGAGGATTAGGTTTTGCCAGGACTCCCCGGGGGGGCTGCATGGGCTTTCTCCCCTCCTCTGTGCTGAAGGCAGGTACCGTGGAGGGAGGAAAGTCGGGGGTGGGGGGTCCTAAGAGCCAATAAAGGAGGGAATAGGCCTGATGTATGAGACTCGTCCTGGCCGCTTCCCTGAGAGGAAACGGGGAGGAGCAGGAATCTGGCAGCTGCTCCAGCCTTCACCCCATTGGGTGCAACCCCAGTCTGCCTTCCCTACATTTGATTCCATCCGGGACTCACTCCGGGTCTCCGGAGGGTATCTCACCTGTGACCCCCAACTTTTTAAGGCTTTGTCTCAGAGAGAACCAGGCCCCCCCATTTCTCCTTCAGTCACTGTCTCCTTTATCCTAATCTCACCCCTTTTGTTCCCTCATCCATGTCCCCATCTTCCCGTGTCTCCTGGCCCCCAGGCTCTGTCCCTCCCCCTCCTGTGTCTCTGCCACCTCTCCAGCTTGCCTGGGCTGCAGCCCAGCCGCCTGCCTGGCTGTCATCCCTGGCTCCCCCTCTGCGGCTCTGAGCTGGCCCCACCCCCTGTCCCCCCCTCGGCCAGGCCTCTGATCCGCCTGTGGACACAGAGGTTGGGCGTCCGGCACAAGGCCCCTGGGGCTGAGGACAGACCGCAGCCATCAGCACCCACCGAGGAGCCCCCCGTGGAGGGCATGGGGGTGGGCCGCCCCACCAGGTACGTGCTGCATGCAGAGGCCTGGGCAGGGGTCCCGGGGCTGAGGGCCACCCCACCTCCTCCCACGCCCCTGCTTGCTTGGGCATCTGCTCCAGCATCCCCTGCCCCCCATCCTTGCTGTTCCCCCGCCCCCTCGGAGAGGTCCAGTCTTACCCTCGGTGACGGTCCAGCCCCAGAACAATCGCTCCCTTCAAGTTTGGTGCCTCTAACTGGCCCCATTGGCATTTTGTGCTTTTTTTCACTGCCCGCCCCCCCGCCTGCCGCCCGTCCCCCCCCCCGCCTCCCGCATCCCCCATCTCAACGGAGCCTCTTTCTTGCCCCGTCTCTGTGTCTTCCGTTGCTCTCTGCCTGCCATCTCCCATCTTGCCCTTTCCTAAGACACGATCTCCATGACTTTCCCAGTTGCTCCTCATCTGCCTGTGTTGCTGTTCTCTCTCCCTGGGCCTCTGTCCCCCACCCATCTCCCCATTGTCTGTCTGCTTCCCTCTGAGTCTCTGGGTCCCTGTCACTCTGTCCCTCTCTGTCTGTCCCTATGCCCGTCCCTCTGGGTCTCTCCACGCCCCCTCCCCCCCCCATCTCGGTTCTCTCTCTTTCTCAGGCTCCCTCTCTTCCTGCTCATCTCCGATCCTGTGCCCTTGTCTTTGCCCAGGCTCTGCCCCCACACGCCCTCCTGTCAGTCTCTGCCCCCAGCCTGCTCCCCAGACCCCGCGGGGAGTGAGGGTGGGGGAAATACCGGGCTCTCGGGGAAGAGTGTGCGAGGGTTTCTTTGGGGAGGAAGGGAGGGAGGCTGGGCCTGGGCGGAGCCTCTTGGCCTCAGATTAGGCAGTGACTTTGACCGAAGTTAAGGCACCTTAAGCCCCGTCTCCTTTATATGGAAACGTTAAGCTGCTCCCCTGGGGCAGGTCAGGGGGGGCGGGGAGGACTTGAGGCTCTGGAGCTTTCCCTCCGGCCTGCTCTGCGGAGCAGGGGGTCGCCTGAGTCCGAGGAGCACCCACCCATGGGAGCTGGGCCATGGGTGCAGGCAGAAGGGGAAGGCCCTGCCCCGTCTGCTCTGGGAAACGGACACGGTCGTGTCGGCCTTGGGCTGAGTGTGGGCCTCGGTTTACTTGGGAGGCAGAGTCCTGGGTTGGAAAGGCTCAGAACCCAAACTGGCACCCACCCTCACACTGCCTGGGTCTGGCCGGGTCTCAGCCTGTGGCCCAGAGCCGTGACCCTCACCTCCCAGCATCCTGAGCGGTGGGGTCCGGTGGAGCCCAGTGGGTGGGCGGGGACACCCAAGGAGCTCTCCTGCAGCCCAGCACATGGCAGATGCTCAGACCCGCCTATGATTAGGGGCCCATGCTCCGAGGCTCCGGCTTCGGCACCCAAGGGCCCAGGTGGGAGGGGCCTGAGCCAAGGGACGGACCAGTGGCTGTTGCCTGAGAAAAGCAAAGTCCCCAGGGTTGTGGGTAGAGACAGGTGAGGGGGTGTGAGGAGGCCCCGGCTGGGGTGGGTGCTGGGTCGGTGGGAGGCCCTGTCATCTGTGGCACTCAGTCCATAGTGGGGACTTCAGGCAGGGGAGGACGGCAAATGTCCAGGTCAGAACCTGGATCCTGACCTTAAACGGCCTCTTCAGGGACTAGCCTCAGTTTCCCGTTTTTGGCAAACCATCTCTTCACAGCCAGAGTAATGATGGGTGAAAGCGGAGTTGGGCTACATCCTGGGTGCTGGACGCAGCCAGGCCCAGGGCACCCACCTGAGCCTCCGCTCTGCCTCTGGAATGGGTGCAATGAAGCCCAGATGCTGGGCTGTCCAGGTGGTCACGGGCAGCAGGTGCAGAGCTGGAGGCCCGGGGAAGGGAGGAGGAGAACCCTTTGGTATTGAACTTGATATTGACTGACAGCCCTCTCTTCAAACTGAGTGCCCCCAGTCCCGCCCGGAAGCCCATCAGGATCCCAGAGCCTGGCACAGGGGCACATCGTATGCCTGTGCTTGGTACATACTGATGGAACCCATCTGCCAAATATTTCACCCCTGGTCCATATTAGGTCCCTGCCACCAGCGTGCCAGAGGTTACCCTGCAGCTGCTGGAGGGTGATGAGGTCTGCAGGTCCAGCCCCTTCCCCCCTCCTCTCCACACTGTCTAGCTCAGCGGTTCTCAACCTGTGGGTCGCGACCCCTTTGGCGGTCAAACGACCCTTTCACAGGGGTCACCTAAGACCATCCTGCATATCAGATATTTACATTGTGATTCAGAACAGTAGCAACATTACAGTTATGAAGTAGCAACGAAAATAATTTTATGGTTGGGTCACAACATGAGGAACTGTATTTAAAGGGCCAGAAGGTTGAGAACCGCTGGTCTAGCTGATGAGATTCTCTCCATTTCACAGATTAGGAAACTGAGGCTCAGAAAGGGATGTGACTCACCACCAGTCCTCCAGCTAGTAAATGGCAGAGCCGGATTCATTCAAAAGCCCAAGGTCTTCTGGATCCTTCTTCCTTTCAAGGCGGTGGGTTTTTATCCCCATCCCCCTGATGAGTAAATGGAGCCTCCAGGAAAGGAAGTCAGTTGTCTCAGGGCACATAGTGGGTCAGCAACTGAGCCAGGATTGGGCCCTGGGTCTATATGACTGGAAGCCCTTCCTGACCTTGATGAAGAAGTGGTTTCCCCATTTTACAGCTGAGGAAACAGGCTCACAAAGACTTGCCCAAGGTCTGAGAGTCGGGGGGAGCCTGGGTTTGTTTTGTGTGTATGTGTGTTTTTGTAACAGCTTCATTGAAATATAATCACATACCACACAACTCACACATTAAAGTGTACAATTCCAGGGTTTTCAGTACATTCACAGAGTTGTGTAATCATTACCACAATCGATTTTAGAACATTTTTAAAAATATATTTTTATTGATTTAAAAGGAGAGAGAGAAATATCAATGATGAGAATCATTGATTGGCTGCCTCCTGCACGCCCCGCACTGGGGATTGAGCCTGCAACCCGGACATGTGCCCTGACCAGAATCGAACCTGGGACCCTTCAGTCTGCAGGCCAACGCTCTATCCACTGAGCCAAACCAGCCAGGGTCAATTTTAGAACATTTTTATTTCACCTAAGACCATCCTGCATATCAGATATATGCCGTGCCCTAACTGGTTTGGCTCAGTGGGTAGAGCGTCAGCCTGCGGACTGAAGGGTCCCAGGTTCGATTCCGGTCAAGGGCATGGACCTGGGTTGCGGGCATATCCCCAGTAGGGAGTGTGCAGGAGGCAGCTGATGGATGTTTCTCTCTCATCGATGTTTCCAACTCTCTATCCCCTCCCTTCCTCTCTGTAAAAAATCAATAAAATATATTTTTTTAAAAAAGAAATGCCGTGTCCTCTGGCTATTACTGCCCAATCCTTCCATCTCCACAATCCTAGGCGTGACTAGACTACTTTCTCGATTTGCCCATTCTGGACATTTCATGTAAATGCAATTATAAAATATGTGGTCTCACCCTAACCCAGAGGTTCTCAACCTGTGGGTCGCGACCCCTTTGGGGGTTGAACGACCCTTTCACAGGGGTCGCCTAAGACCATCGGAAAACACAGATAGAATTACATATTGTTTTTGTGATGAATCACTATGCTTTAATTATGTTCAATTTGTAACAATGAAAATACATCCTGCATATCAGATATTTACATGACGATTCATAACAGTAGCAACATTACAGTGATGAAGTAGCAACGAAAATAATGTTATGGTGGGGGGTCACCACCACATGAGGAGCTGTATTAAAAGGTCGCGGCGTTAGGAAGGTTGAGAACCGCTGCCCTAACCAGTTTGGCTCAGTGGATAGAGTGTCAGTCCTTGGACTGAAGGGTCCCTGGTTCGGTTTTGGTCAAGGGCATGTACCTAGGTTGCAGGCTCAATGCCCAGTAGGGGACGTGCAGGAGGCAGCCAATCAATGATTCTCATCATTGATGTTTCCCTCTCTCAAATCAATAAAAAACACTTATAAAAAATAGATGGTCTTTCGTGATTTGCTTTTTTCACTTAACATAATGTTTTCAAGGTTCAACCATGTTGTAGCGTGTGTCTACTTTTATTTCTTTTCACTGCTGGGTTGTATGTATTCCGTTGTGTGGAACTACCACATTTTATTATCCACTTATCAACTGATGGCCATTTGGGTAGTTTCCATCTTTTGTCTCTAGTGAACAGTGCTGCTGTGAACATTTGTGTACAAGTGTTGTGTGGACACTTTTTTTTATTTCTCTTGGGAAGTACCTAGGAGTGGAGTTGCTGGATCACATGGCAACTCTCTGTTTAATCATTTAAGGAACTGCTGGACGCTTGAGGGTGCCAATTTCTCCACATCCTTTTCAACACGTATTTTCTGGGGGTTTGTATGGTTTATGACTACAGCCATCCTAAGTAGGTGTGAAGTGGTATCTCACTGTGATTTCCATTAGCATCCCTAATGGCTGATGCCAATATTTTCCTGTGTTTATTGGCTGTTTGTCTAACGTTTTTTGGAGAAATGTCTATTCAGATCCTTTGCCCATTTTAAAATTGGGTTGTCTTGTTATTATTGAGTTGTAAGGACTCTTTATATATGTTTGGATAGAAATTTCTTAGATGTATGATTTGCAACTATTTTCTCCCACTAGTGAGTTCTCTTTCACCTTGTTAGTGTCCTTTGAAGCACAAAAATATTTACTTTGATGAAGTTCAATTTATTTTTTTCCCTTTTGTTGCTTGTGCTTTCTGAGCTTGTTTTTTTGTTTGTTTTGTTTTAATCCTCACCCGAGGATATATTTTTATTGATTTGAGAGAGAAAGGGAGGGGGAGGGGGAGAGGAAGAAGGAGTAGGAGAGAGGGAGAGGGAGAGAAACATTGATGGTTGCCTCCCACATGCACGCCACCCGGGATCGAACCATCAACCTGGGTTTGTACCCTGACTGGGAATCAAACCTGAGACATTTGGGTGTAGGGGAGGATGCTCCAACCACTGAGCCACCCGGCTGGGGCCTGAGCTTGTGTTTGAACCATAGGGGGACCTCAGCGCTGCAGCTCACCTCCCCACGCTGACTCCATGCTGAGAGCCAGTGACCACTTAGTGCAGCGGTTCTCAACCTGTGGGTCGCGACCCCTTTGGGGGTCCAACGACCCTTTCACAGGGGTCGCCTAAGACCATTGGAAAACACACATATAGTTACATATTGTTTTTGTGATGAATCACTATGCTTTCATTATGTTCAATTTGTCACAATGAAATTGGGGGCCACCACAACATGAGGAACTGCATGAAAGGGTCGCGGCATCAGGAATGTTGAGAACCACTGACTTGGGGCTTATGAGCTTGGGCTCTGGAGCCAGCCTGCTAGCACGCAAACCCGTTTAATCAGCTGTGACCTTGGGCAAGTCCAACATGCTGTGCCTCAGTTTCCTCATCTGTAAATTGGGAAAACAAAGCGTTGTGAGGCTCAAATAAGAAAATTCACGGCAAGTGTCCAGGACAGCGTGCGCACTGCACATGCCGGCCTGTACATTATTGTGGCTTACCACGGCGCTGTTACAGCTACAGTTCTGTGGCCGTGGCTGCTGGGCAAGTGCCTCCCGTCGTTACAAGTATCACTGTCGCAGCGGTACTGCTGTGACTTTCAAGGTGAGCATCCGTCCACCCATCTGCCTGGCCCAGGGAGCATCTCCCCCCCCCCCCGCCCCCCATTCCTGGCACCTCTGACGTTTCTGCCCACTTCTTGTCCCCGCAGGTGCGGGGCGCCCGCCCCCCACTAGCCCCGGTGAGCGGCGGTCCCCGCCAATGGGCCTGGCCGAGGCCCTGCGCCGCCTGAGCGGCGCCCTGGAGTCGGGGGCCGGCGGGGCGGGCGACGAGGAGGCCGGGCCCGGGCTGTGCCGCAACGGGTGGGCGCCGGCCCAGTGCCCGGCGGCGGCGGCGGGGCGGCGCGGAGGGCGCTTCGTCAAGAAGGACGGCCACTGCAACGTGCGCTTCGTGAACCTGGGCGGCCAGGGCGCGCGCTACCTGAGCGACCTGTTCACCACGTGCGTGGACGTGCGCTGGCGCTGGATGTGCCTGCTCTTCTCCTGCTCCTTCCTCGCCTCCTGGCTGCTCTTCGGCCTGGCCTTCTGGCTCATCGCCTCGCTGCACGGCGACCTGGCCGCGCCGCCGCCGCCCGCGCCCTGCTTCTCCCACGTGGCCAGCTTCCTGGCCGCCTTCCTCTTCGCGCTGGAGACGCAGACGTCCATCGGCTACGGCGTGCGCAGCGTCACCGAGGAGTGCCCGGCCGCCGTGGCCGCCGTGGTGCTGCAGTGCATCGCCGGCTGCGTCCTGGACGCCTTCGTGGTGGGCGCCGTCATGGCCAAGATGGCCAAGCCCAAGAAGCGCAACGAGACGCTCATCTTCAGCGAGAACGCCGTGGTGGCGCTGCGCGACCGCCGCCTCTGCCTCATGTGGCGCGTGGGGAACCTGCGCCGCAGCCACCTGGTCGAGGCCCACGTGCGCGCCCAGCTGCTGCAGGTGCGAGGCCGCGGCCCCCCAGGGAGGCAGGAAGGTGCACAGGGGTGGGGCCGGCCCGGGGGATTGTGGGAGATGTAGGCATGAGGCCGAGGCGTGCATTTGACGTGGAGGGTGCGTGGACTACAAGTCCCAGCAGTCTCTCGGGCAGGGATCCTCTTGCTCTGCTGGTGGCTGGAGTTTGAGTCCAGGAGCAGTTGTAGGAGATGCAAACCTTAGACTTGAGACAGATTTTGAGACACAAAGAGCTTTCTGGGGTTTGAGGGCGGACCCCTCCCTATGGAACTGTGGGAAATCTAAACCTTGAGGGGCCTGTAAAGGCTCTGAACTCAGACTCCTCCGGGGTCTGGGAAAGGGCCCGGGTGAGGTGGTGTGGGATCGTGTAGTTTTGCGGGTGGTGTAAATGGATGGTGTGAATCGCCGCTCAGGTTTCCAGTTCCAACAGCTATGACTTGAGGCCTGGCCCCTGTGGGATGGTGGGAGATGTAGGTCCCAGGGTGGGGTGCAGCTCACACCTAAGCAGCCGTGGAACACAATGCTTCATGACCTCTGGGCATGGGGCCCTGCAGCCTTCGTTCCCCACCTCAGCGGCCCAGCCTCTCCCACCGGCCTCCTGCTGGGAGGGGCACAGAGCCGTGGTTGGGACGCTCTTGAATTGTAGCTTCTTGGCAAAAAGACAAACGAACAAAACAACTCCCATTGGCTCCCTCCAACGCTCTGCAAAAGGCGCTTTTTGCTTTCGTGTTTCTAGAATTGTGGTCGAACTGCCCAAATTCTGAGGCTAGCTGCCCTTGTCCAAGTACACACTTGACCTTGGGCTGAGCTTGTACTTGGGAGAGAGGGAGAACAAGGTGGTGGTGGGAACTACAGCTCCCAGCAGCGACTGGGGTCTCCCGGAGACAGACAGGTGGGGGAGAATGGGCCCCACCCCCCACCTCTCTCTCCCACTTGACTGAGACCGCAGGACCCTGGGAGGGATATTGTCTATCCCTATGGGGTGCTGACATGGCCTGGGAGGTGGGTGTGGAACCGATGGGTAGGTGGGGTGAAACTGCCAATACCTGGCCTATGGACTGCGTACCCTCCTCTCCATCACACACAGATACACAGGGGCTGCAGGGCTTGTAGTGGGGGTGGGGGTGGGGGTGGGGGTGCAGAGCGCCCAGGGGCTGGCAGGAAGCAGCGGGGAACACAGGATATTGGACCTAGATTGTCATCCTGGTTTATCTCGCTCTGTTTACTGAAAGCTATTTTTCTTTTCCTCTTCTCCAATTGCTGCTTGGATGTCATTCTTATCTCCTGTTTCTTTACCTTGGTCTCTGCTTTGCTGATGTCTGTGGCTCTGCCAATGTCACTCTGTCCCTCTCTTCCTCTCTCCCTTGCCTCTTCCTCGGGTTTCTATCCCCAAACCCCCCGAGTCTCTGTCCCTCTCTCTTTATCTCTGGGTCTCTGTCCCCTCTTTCTCTGAGCCCCCATCTTCCTCTCTCTGGGCCTCATCCCCCTCTCTCTGGGTCCTTCTCGTCACCCCTCCCTCACCCTTCCCAGTCTCTACTCCTCTCCTTTTCTGCATGTCCATTGCTTTCTATCATCATCTCTGTCTCCTCTCATCTCCCTGCATCTGTCTTGGGCCCCTTGTCTTTTGCTGCAGCCTCGGGTGACCCCCGAAGGTGAGTACATACCCCTGGACCACCGGGACGTGGACGTGGGCTTTGATGGCGGCACGGACCGCATCTTCCTGGTGTCTCCCATCACCATCGTGCACGAGATCGACTCCTCCAGTCCCCTCTATGAGCTGGGGCGTGCGGAGCTGGCCCGGGCCGACTTCGAGCTGGTGGTCATTCTCGAGGGCATGGTGGAGGCCACGGCTATGACCACGCAGTGTCGCTCTTCCTATCTCCCCGGTGAGCTGCTCTGGGGCCATCGTTTTGAGCCCGTCCTCTTCCAGCGTGGCTCCCAGTATGAGGTGGACTATCGCCACTTCCACCGCACTTACGAGGTCCCGGGGACACCGGTCTGCAGTGCCAAGGAGCTGGATGAGCGGGCAGAGCGGGATTCCCACAGCCCCAAGTCTAGCTTCCCTGACTCGCTGACTGCATTTTGTTATGAGAATGAACTTGCTCTGAGTTGCTGCCGGGAGGAAGAGGAAGCCGAAGGGGGAGATGAGTCGGAGGCCGAAGAGGGGGCTGCCAGCCCCCGAGTACTCACACCCACCCTGTCTCTGACCCTGCCCCCATGATGCCAGCTGGTGTCCCCCATTTGTATCCCCTTCCCAGAGGTAGCAAAATGGAGAGCCCGGGCCCTCTCCTGGGACCGACAGGCCTGCCGGGTAAATTATTAGCTGGTGAAGTTCTGCCTGCCTAGTGGACCCACCATGGACACACTGGATTTTAATTCCTCTGTGTTGTGTGCTCCCCCCTGAGACCCCTGTATCGGCCTGATTCCGGAGTCTGACCAGAGCTAAGGGATCCAGGATTCTGGACCACCCAAGAGGCAAGGACTGGTGGTTCTAGATTCTTCTATATGGCTGGCGTGGGTTGTTGAGCAGGGTCCGGAATCAGAGACATAGTCTGCCTCTGGGGGAGGAAGTCAGTTCTCCAGCAGCGAGTGAGAGCGAGAGTTTATAGGCCTGGATTGGTTTAATAGTCAAGGGACTATTGCGTCTTGGCTCAGCCAACCAAGAAGCAAGTGGTCTTTTTCTAGACCACCTCAGGAGGAAAAAGTATGGGACGCTCCAAGAATTCAGGACTAACTTATTGACCTGGAATGTTGACTGCAAGTCAAGAAAAGACCTGTGCTTCCAGAAAGCCCATGTTTTGAGATTGTTCATCTAGACTGGCCTTAGATAGTAGAAGTACTCCAGGAACTAAAGAGTTGGGTTTCTAGAATGCACAAAAGAACGGAGAGTCTGCTGGTCTAGGACTGCAGTGACAGATGAGGAGTTCTTGATAGTAGATAACGCCAGACCGGTGGCTACAGAACGTCAAAGCAAGGGGAGAATCGATGCTTCTTAATGACCCACAGGTGTGTGTTTTTAAAGTGCCATTCTAGAATGTCCAAAGGAACCAAGATTCCGTGGCTCTGGATGGACCACAGAGTCAGGGAAGGAGTGGCGATCCTAGACGACTTCTTTGTGGTTCTGTAATGCCAAAAGGAACCAAGGCTTCAGGGAGCCAGAGTTGTCCATGATCGAAGCCCGGAAGTTCTAAGCAGCTCCTGGAACAGTTGGACTCAGGACTTGCTAGACAGCATTTCTGGGCTGACCTGAAGGTGAGGGCCCAGACAAGACCCTGTGGGTAACAGGGCTAGTGAACGGGCACGGGAAGGGAGGGGGCCATGGCTGGCGAGTCTGCAATGCTCTGGAACCCTACACCTAGTGATGTGTATCTATTTCTTAAAGATGTTATATATGTGTGTGTGATCTCTATATATAAAAGCCCAATGACTGAACAGCAGAACGACCAGAAAGGCCGGTCAACCTTGCGCGATGATGCGCACTGACCACCAGGGGGGCAGACGCTCAACGCAGGAGCTGCCCCCTGGTGGTCAGTGTGCTCCCACAGCGGGTTGATCCCCGCAGGCCATGCCCCCTACCAGTGCACAAATCTGTGCACCAGGCATCTAGCATATAATATAAATACAGATATATATATATATTGCCCCACCCCCACTCCATGGTTCTTACAGAAGGATTAGAAATGGAGTTTGAGCTCATTGGAATGGGATCTTTCATAAGGATCCAGGAAGCTTTGCTCTAAATCCTAGCTCTGCTTAAGGACTGTGTGACTGGGCACATCCCTCCTCTTTCCTCACTTCGGTTTCCTCATCTGTAAAATCGGGGCACTGGAACTTGAACTTCTCCAAGGGCCTTTCCTCAGGAATGGTTCCTCACTTCAGGGAGGGGGAGGTGAGGGGAGGGTCCTAGAGACTTCCCAGCTCTCCCTGGTGCATGGACCCACCATGGACTCCCAGGGGTGGGAGACGCTCTTGGAGGCCAGCTCTGAGTTTGGACATCTGAAGGACAGGGCAGGCTGGGTGCAGTGTGGGCTGTGGCTAAGGGCCAGAATCAACGCCTCCCTCGTCCAGCTTGACGGACAGGAGGTAGCTCTGGATACCAGGGGCAAGTAGGTGGTTAGGGGGAGAATTGTCCCCCAGATTAAACCATTGGCGCCTGGTGGTGTGTCTGTGAGTGTGCTTCTGGGGCCTGGCCTCTGCCCTTGCTTCTATCTACCTAAGTGCCCAGCAGGCAGGAAGCCAGCTGCTAAAGGAACCAATGCCTGTGAGGATACGTGCCCACCGCTGTGTCCCAGGACTAAGGGTGGGCACTGTCATTGCCCCTCAGCCTGCCCAGGTGCTGCACCAACCCAGGTCCTCCCTTCTGGCTTCCCCGCCTCCCTTGATCCTTCAGAATCCCCACGTAATAACCGGATGGGATTAATTAGCTGGCTGCCCCCCCCTCGCCCCCCCCAGCTCAGGGAGTCTGGGATAGGGCCTCGGGACCATAGAAATAGGGGTGGAGGAGAATGCTAAGTGTGAGGTGAAGGGACAGGGACAGGGTTCTGCTTGGAAGGAGAGAGAGTGGGGTCGTGGCAGGCACAGCCTGGGTTTCCATTGGGGAGGGCAGGGGCTGGGCCACTCCTAAAGGTCAGTGAGATTAGGACGCTCCATGTCTAATCTGTCAGTTTAACCAGATCCCAGCTCTGAATCTGTCTCCCCCTGCCTAGCTCATGGGCCGCAAATGAGGACAAGTCCCAGACACCACCTCAGACCCCATTAGGGACCTGCCAATGACAGGGTACCTGGTTTCTCCATTCTGCTCAGGGTCCTGCACCCACTTTGGCTGCAAGGCCTGGGAATGAGAGTGGGATGGGGTTAGGCCCTAACCATTAGGGCTTCTGATGCAGGAGGACTCTGAGAGGAGGGAGGGGAGCAAGAGTATGAGAGGTGGGGTGCACCTGAAGTGAGGCAAGTTGGAGAGAAGGGAAAGGACCCTGAGAAGGGTCTAGGAATCAGAGAAGGTGAGAGGGTGCTGAGGAAAAGGGAGTTGTCCAGGGAAGATGCTACAATCAGGGGAGGAGCTAGATGGCACCAGGAAGGCGGGGCCTGTGCTTTCACTATATTTGGCCTTTTCCTATTATCCCATTCTCCTTGACAGGTACCAAACAGCGTAATATTTAAAATACATATATTTTTTATTGATTTCAGAAAGGGGGGTGGGGGAGAGAGAAACATCAATGATGAGAGAGAATCGTTGATTGGCTGCCTCCTGCACGCCCCAATAACCCCGGGCACGTGCCCTGATCAGAATAGAATCATGACCTCCAGGTTCATAGGTCAATGCTCAACCACTGAGCCATGCCAGCCGGACCAAATAGTGTAACATTGAAAAGACAGAATAAGTCTTTTTTTGCACCACTTCTTAACTCTGGAGAGGCTGGGGTAGATGGGAGGGGGTAAGAAAAGGGTCTGGAGAACGGAGGGGCCAGGAGGCCAAAAGAAAGGTGAGCCTGGGGGGGCGGGGGCGGCGGAGATCGACCGAAGGACTTGTATGCATGCATATACGTATAACCAATGGACACTGACAGCAGAGCGGTGAGGGCATGTGCTGGGGTGGGAGTGGCCAGGGAGAGGTCAATGGGGGGAAAAGGAGACATATGCAATACTTTCAACAATAAAGAATTTAAATTAAAAAAAAAAGTGAGCCAAAGCTGCTCCCGGTTGCTTGGCAACAGCTGTCGTCAAAAGGAAGCTTGGTTGCTAAGGAGCTGTGGCTCGGAGAACAACCGGCAGCTGGGGCCCCGCCCCCTGGAACAAGTGCCGACCCCCAGCGACGCTCCACTAGCGGCGCGCTCGGCGGAAATCGCATCCCGTTGCCCAAAGTCCCGGCGCCCGCGAAGCCCTCCCGGCTCCCACGCAGTCCCACCTCCAAGCAATTCCTTTCCGAGGCTCCTCATAGGCGGGCAAGCCAGCCACGTGACTTCTTTTGTTTCAGAGGCGGTGCCCAGCCCTCGGCCCGCAGTCTGATTGGTCCGAGGGACCGTCTCTCTCCGGCCGACACTGCTACGCCTGCTCCTTGCGCGCTGATTGGCCCAGGAGAACGGTCCTTCGGCATCGAGGGCGGAGCAGACGGGAGGGCCCGGACTGGATTGGGCGGTGTCAAAACGAGGGGCGGTCCCTACTGGCGGGGCGGTTGGGAGGCGAAGGGAGAGTCTTTTCAGCGCTGAGGACTGGCGCTGAGGAGGCGGCGGTGGCTCCCGGGGCGTTTGAGCGGGCTCACCCGAGCCCGCGGGCCAACGCGGAACCAGGCCCGACTGGCGGGACCGCCCCGGACTCCCCGCGGGGCTTCCTAGCCGCCATGGAGGACGGCGTCTACGGTAGGTCGGCGAGGGGTGGGGCCGGCTAGGGGCGGATGAAGCCCCTCGTCCTCCACGTTCCGCCGCGAACGCTGCCCCCGGCGCGCGCCTCTCGGAGCTGCTCGGCGCCGTCGCCGCCGCCGCGTTTTTGCGGGGCTCGGGATGGGCTTCCGGCGGGGCCCGAGAGCGGGGCGTTCCAGGCCATTGTTTGGGCCGATCCTGTTTCCGGTGGCGGCGGGAGGGGGCGGGATGAGCGGTGGAGCGGAGGCCGCGGCGGAACCATTCCCCCCGGAGGGGCCGGGCGAGCCCAGGGCCTGCTGGGAGCAGGGGTGGGGGGGCGCTCCTGGGGGCCGAGGGGTGGGGGAGAAATCTTGGGGCTCCAGAGACCCCACGGAGACCGTGGCCTCTGGTGCCCCGCCCCCTTCCCCAACTCCCGCGAGCTGTCATCGGCGTCCCCCGCCGTAGTTACTTCTCATGGGCCCGGGAGGCCGGACACCCAGGCCCGCGGCTGCATCGCTGAGAATGGAAGTGGGAAGCCAAGGCCTCGGCCCCTTTGCAAGTAATGAGCCCACAGTTCAGACTTCCAGCCGCCTTCTCCTTCAGCCCGGGTCCCCTTCTTCCCCAGGACTCAACCCAGGCCCCCAGCCCCTTCCCCCGGCAGACGTAAGAGGCCTGACCCTCATCTTCACCCTCCCCCTGAACCCAGGGGTCATGCCCCCCGGCCCTGTAAAAATCCGGATTGCAGGAACACAGGTTCCCCGTCCCCCCAGAACTGACCTCCATCCAACCTCTGACCCCCCCCCCCCCCAGAACCCCCAGACCTGACTCCAGAGGAGCGGATGGAGCTGGAAAACATCCGGCGGCGGAAGCAGGAGCTGCTGGTGGAGATCCAGCGCCTGCGCGAGGAGCTCAGCGAAGCCATGAGCGAGGTGGAGGGTCTGGAGGCCAATGAGGGCAGGTGAGGACTGGAGCCGGGAACTTGGGGGGTCGTGGGGCCAGGCCAGGGGCCAGGGCTGCCCAGACATTGACCCTCCACCACCCCGCTCTCTGCCTCTGCAGTAAGACCTTGCAGCGGAACCGGAAGATGGCAATGGGCCGGAAGAAGTTCAACATGGACCCCAAGAAGGTGCTTGGCGCCACGGGGCTGGGGTCAGCCTGGCGGACATGCTGACGGGGTGTGATGGTTTAAAGGCCTACTTTAGGGGGACAGACTTGGTCCCAATCCCTGGATTTCGCCGGGTCGACTGTCCATTTGTTCCCTGAACATGAGCCAAGTGCTCCAGCCCCCAGACCTTTGCTTGTGCTGAGTCCTCCGCTGGGCCGTCCTCTTTCCCTGCTTGTTCGTATTTCTGGACCCACTTCTGGTGTCACCTAGAGTCCCAGGAGGAGCTGGTGTCTGGTAGGAAGCAGACAGTGACATGCTCAGCGGCGTCGTGACAGAGGCCCCGGGGCTGGGGACACTCAGGAGGGAGCCGGGGCATCGGGGAGGACTCCCTCGAGGAGGGGATGCTCAGGGCAGGTTTGAAGGAAGAGCCAGTGTTCACCTGGTGGAGGAAGGCATTTGTTCGTTCATGCAGTTGAAGCCCGTTGCCTCCTGCCTGCCTTGGGCCTGCTCCTCCGCTAGCCAGTGCTCGGCCCCTAGAGATGGTCGACTCTGCTTGGCCTGCAGGGAGCCCCTAGACATGGTCACCACAGTCCAGGGCGAGAAGGAGCTGTAGTGGAGGTCCTCACGGTGCTGGGAGAGCCAGAGGAGGCCGGGGTCCCCCCTGAGGGCTGGCCCTCACAGTTCTTGAGGGCCTGCTGCTCACTGAGTTTCTCGCATTATTCCTCCTGCCCCGAGCAGTGTAGCTTGTTCAGTCCTCCAGCAAACAGCCACTGAGCTCCTGTTCTTGCCAGACCCTGCTCTCGGGGCTGGGATGAACCAGGCGGAGCAGAGGGAACAGTGGGTGCCAAGGCTGTATGCGGTGAGGCGGGAGGGAGGCTATTTAAAGGCCTGTGAGAAGCCTGAAAATGACACCTGGCCCTGCTCGGGCAGCGTGGGTGGGTTTGGGTGCTGAGCTTTCTGGGGAGGTGGTGGGAGTGGCTGTCAGCGTATTAGCGCTGAGACCCGGTCCCCACTCACTAGGGGATCCAGTTCTTGGTGGAGAACGAACTTCTGCAGAACACACCTGAGGAGATCGCCCGCTTCCTGTACAAGGGCGAGGGCCTGAACAAGACAGCCATCGGGGACTACCTGGGGGAGAGGTGAGGCCCCGCCCCGCTCCTCCGGGCTCTCCCCGCAGCCCCTGGCACCCGCCTCACTGCAAGCTGCTCTCCCGAGGAGAGACCCTGACAGACTAACCTTCCAGCTGGACTATGACCGGCTGGGCTGACGCCGGGGCCTGGGAGCCTGGGGCCATCAGGGGAACCTAGGGACTGTCTGGGAGCATCTCGGGGGCATGGGGACCTTCTGAGGACATCTGGGAAGTGTGGGGACCATTATGCCTGGGGACAGGAGAAAGTCTGTAGGAATGTGTCACAGGAATGTGAGAACTGGGTAGACACTGATGTGCATGGGAACCGTGTGGACAGCTTGGAAGTATGGGGATTAGCAGCAGGTATTTGTGGAGCCTGGAGACGCCGTGGAAATCGGGGCAGGAGGACCTCTGTGGACTCTGGGGAGGACGGGGACTGCCTAGAAGTCTAGGGCACGTGAGCCTGGACATCAGTGCACAGGCACCATCTGTGGGTGTAGGGAAGGCGTGGACTGTCTGGACCCTAAGGTGCAGGAGGGCATGCTGGGAAGTCAGGGAGGCCTGGGACCGTCTGTGAGCGTCTGAACGTCCGAGGTGCACAGGACTCTCTGGGTGTCTGGGCGCTTTGGGAGGGTGTGGGGATCTAGAGTGTATGGAACTTTCTGGACATCTGAGGTGCGTGGCGACTGTCTGGGAATGTGGGAACTGATGTCTAGGAACCTTCTGTATGTGGGATCCATCTGTGGACAGCTGCGATGTGTGGTGACTGGGGACATCTGTCATGTGGGGAACGTCTTGTGGACATGTGGAGGGTGGGGACTGACCGTGCATGTCTGGGGGTTTGGGGGCCACCTCCGGACATCTGAGGAGCCTGGGGATTAGCTGAGAGGTGACAGTAGGCGGAGCACATGTTGGCTGCATTTCTCTGTGCAAAGGGTCAGCCACACCAGGGCTCTTACAACAGACGATCCTCCCAGAGCATGCTCTGAGCGCCCTGCCGGGGGCCAGGCCAGCACTGGGTGCAGAGTGGTGGCCTCCGCAGTGCTGGGTCCACTCCCACCCTCCCAGGTGCCTTTTCTGAGTGCCCGTGCCTGTCCTCCCAGGGAAGAGCTGAACCTGGCCGTGCTGCACGCCTTCGTGGATCTGCATGAGTTCACCGACCTCAATCTGGTGCAGGCCCTCAGGTGAGAGGGACGGGGCTGGCAGGGCAGGAGCGTGCCTGTCAGGCCTCCTTTACAAGCGATGACACCTGCTCAAAACTAAAATAGAAGCAAAAACCCGGGACTGGGTTGCTGCATGTAACACAAAAGCCCATGGTGGGGCCTTCAGGCGCAGCTGTCTCCAGATGTTCCGATGGCACCAGAAGGTCAGCTTTACCTCTTGGTTGTGTTCGCCCCTGTGCTGGCATTGCTGGCTGCAGCCTGCTCTTACAGGATAACAGAAGCCTCTGCTGTCCTCCAGGCTCGTTAGCAAACTGAGGAGAAAGAGCACTTTCCTTAAATCCACAAGTCCCAGAGTCCGTGCTCATTGGTCCGACTGGGTCATGTGTCCATACTCGGAACAGCTGCTGAGGCCACAGGTTTGGCGGGACTGAGCGCAGGAAAGGGGTTCACCGGTCCTGACGGCACCTGGCCCCTTTCCCACGCAGGCAGTTTCTGTGGAGCTTCCGCCTCCCTGGAGAGGCCCAGAAGATTGACCGGATGATGGAAGCCTTTGCCCAGCGCTACTGCCTGTGTAACCCCGGCGTTTTCCAGTCCACAGGTGGGCGCCCGGACCCTGGGGCCTGCGGGGAGGGGCTGGGCCCGGGGCAGGAGGCCGTGGGGCCACTGACCTGTGTCCTCACACCCCGGCTGCTGCAGACACCTGCTACGTGCTGTCCTTTGC